TTTACACTTCCTGTCCCCCATACCTGGAATGGAGCCTTTGCCCTCCCAAGCTTCCACCTTCTGCAGAAGGCTTGTCCTGATCCACACTCCACCTCCACCACCCAGCTGCTAGCATCTTCCCTTGGACATTACCTTCCACCTCCTCTGTATGTATCTTGGATATGCCTAATTATTTATCTTTTGCCTCTTCCATTGGAATATAAGCTCCTTGAGGGCAGGGAATTGTTTTTGCTTTTCTTTTTTATCCCCAAGTACTTAGCACTGTGCTGGGCACATAGTAAACACTTAATAAATGTTTGTTGAGTGACTTTATAATTTTGCCAAGGGCCAGTAATGTTTATTTTAATCTGGAGATTTGGAAGCTCTGCCTTAAGGTGTATGTCCTTTGTGAACTGCACATTCCTATTACTCTGCTTCTCACTATTTGCACTTTCTGATGTTTCTCCTTTCTTCTTGAATGGCTCCTCCAGAAGCCTCTTTGTCATTAGTCTGTCTGAGCTATCACAGTGGTGCTACTATTCCTCGACTGTGCTATATAGATCCATCAACTTATTCCCTCCATATTACCGCCATCCAATGTATATTGTTTGTCCTGCTCTACCCCTTCTCTTTTTCCTTTTCATAGTCTCAGCCTCCTCTGCCAGTCTTCTTCCTCTTCCTCTTCGTGGCCCCAAGACTATCCTTCATCCGCTGGTCCATGTTGAGGACACTCCTCCCACTTCTATGTCCTCTCTGTCCCACAGCTCTTTCCAGGGTTCCTGAATTACTCCGCTATCTTCGTTTGGCCCAGTGACATCTCAGTCACTGTACATTATCTTATACATGGCTTCATAGTACACATTTCAATTTTAATAGCAATGACTTTTGGTCTCTACATTTCACAAGGAACCCTAGACCCTTTCTAATAAATCATCCTGAGATACATAATCGTTCATGGGGAGAGGACACACCACCACATGAAAAGTGCCCTCATGTTGGCTTGAGGTAATAATAGCTAGCATTTAGATAGTTCTTTGCATATGTTATCTCATTTGACCATCACAACAACCCTGTGAGGTTGTTATCCCTATTTTGTGCAGTTATTATCCCTGTTTTACAGATGAGGAATCTGAGGCAAACATACATTGACTTGCCTAGGATTATATAGGTAGTATAATCCTCAGCTCAAATCCATTTACATAAGCCTCTTCTCATTGGTGGAGACTGATTATGCCATGCTTTATGACTATGTGAGGGGTGGAGAACTTGAGAGAGCTGAGAGATCCTGATCTTTTGGCTTCCAGCTTCAAGAAAGAAGATAACAGAGTCCCAGATTCTCCTCAGGGCCCTGAAGGGAAATACTCTGGGAAGACACCAACATGTGGAGGAGCTGGCACCTTGATCAGATCCCTATTCTTAGATCTGGGACCCTATTGGTTGAGTTGAGATAGGTGGCTCCCAGTGGGAGAGCTTATTCAGTCTGTAAGTTTCATATGTATATATTCTCTGATTTCTATTTGCTGTTGGCTTGAATAAATGAGTTTATTTGTTATATGCTCTGTGTGTGTGTGTGTATGTATGTGTCTGTTCTTTGCCGAACTGGCATTTGATGAAACGGAAGTGAAGCCAATTAAGTAAAAGGACAAGGAGTGTACCCTGAATGTAAAGATTATCTTTTCTAGACTAAGAACATTTGGGGAGATGGGATAGATATGATGTTAGCCTGGTCCTCCCCATCTCTGAGGAGAGCAGAGTGGCCAAATCTGTCTACTAATTTATCCCTCTATCCCATCTTCTGCTCTGAAGCTGGTTAGTTTAGCTAACTAAATAATGCAAATGATTCCTGGCGGAATCAGTTGGCCAATCACCTCTCAGACAAGAAGGGAATTTCTGTGCTCCAAATGCCCAAGGTAACTTGAGTAAGAGATTCAATTATCTCCCCAAATCATTTGAACAAACCTTGGTGATCATCTACTCCACTCCCCTAATTTCACACTAAGACGATGAGACCAAGAGAGATGATAAAAAGAGATACCATCTGTGTCCACATGAGATCAAAACGATCTATTATTCTATACATTCAGCACAAAAAACAGTCAGAAAGTGGTTTGATGTCATATGTACCAAATAATGGGCTGAAGTTTTAGCTTTTCATCTGGCTGTTGTGGTATCAATATTTCCCATCCTATTCCATTCCATGACTTACAGTTCTGAGAGAAAAGAGGAGGGGAATGGAATGGATGAGGGAGGACTATGCCAATTCCTTTCCTACCCTTCATCCATCATCATCCATATATATCTCAAACCCCAATGTAGGACCTATTCATTTTCAAGTTGGCTAGTATATTTGTTAATTAGCAAATTAGAAGGGACTTAATCCAGTAGAGAGGAAAAGTATAAACTGGGGCTTAAAAACAAAACACCCAAAACACTAAGTACAAAAACAAGTTAATAACATTGCTTTACCTTTTTTTAGTTCAATGCAGATATTTTAAAATTAACTTCAGGCTTTAACTCATTAATTCAATAAAAAGTATTTTGCAATTCACTATTTTTAACTCAGTGCTTTCCAGATAGGGTTACATTTGCACCTCATTGCAGAGGAGAGGAAGGAAGAGGTTGATCTGGATGAAATAAACTAGGGGAGTCTGTTAATGTTCAGAACATGCCTACGCTGAAATCTTCCTGGATGTCTCAGGTGTCATGGAGACAGCCCTGGCTCCTCCAAAGCCACTGGGTAACACTCATGCTCTAGTAGATAACAACCAAACTAGAAAGCCTTAGTATATGGCCGTACTGACAGATTGTGTCTGTGGTTCATCACTGAATTGACTGGTGGATTATTTCAGCCACAGCAACACTCTAAAACTAAGTTCTATGTAGGTTGTAATCTACTTTGATGAAGGAAAAGCCTCCATGAATGAAAAGATAGAGACTTTAAAGCATCCATATCCAAAAAGGGATGTCGATTCATTATACTATACAGGTGGGTAATAGTCCCTGCCTCCCTGTACCAAGGGAGTATTTGGGCAGAGGTGTCAAACTCGTGGCTGGCAAAACTCCCTAGTGCAGACTCCAGATTAAAATGTAATTGAGAAATGTTTAACAAAATGTTAATGTTGTTGTTGTTGTTCATTCTTTGTTTTCAAAGAAGACCAATGACATCCTGGAGTGATGTCTTGATTTATGCACATATTGGATTTAAGTGAGGCAGAACTTCAAGAAGTCGTCAGCCTCACTCTTGCCTCCTGAAATCCAGTGGCAAGATGAAAGTCAAGATGACTGGTGATGCCCCAGGAGACTGTGGGTGACCTTGGTCCATTTAGCAAAATAAATAAACATGCAATGTAGATAATGTTACCTTGTAGTTTTCTAAGTCAATATGCCACCTACAAGGATCTATTTCTATTTGAGTTTAACACCATGATATTTTGGGAACGTGAATCCTTAAAATAACCAAGGAGCCCCCTAAGAAACACAAGAGAGAAAGAGAAAGAGAGAGAGAGAGGGAGAGGGAGAGGGAGAGAGAGAGAGAGAGAGAGATGTAGACCTATGGAGTTAAAAGGGCTTAGGACACTATCCATTCCAACCACCTGATTTCACAATTGAGGGAACTGAGGCCCAGAGAGGTTAACAAATGGATATAGACACTGAACCTTGTAACCTAGGACAAGTAAGTTGTTTTTAAATCAAGCAGTTGGACTAAATAGTAACCAAGGCTCCTTCTATCTCTTTTAGTCTGTAACTGTCTCCAGACCGTGAGTTCTAAACCTTTTGACAGTCTTGTGAAGCTCTAGACTACCCTCAATGACCTGCTGATGTTATTTCTAGCTGTCAGTCTTATTTATGACCCTTTATGATCTTTGCTGCTACCGTCTAAAAGAAGGTAGATTTCTGCCCCTTGTCTCCCACCCAGTCACTACTGTCTACTACAAAGTAGGTTCAACTGCAAAACTAAACTTTTCCGTGCTGTAAAAGAATTTCAGAATACAAAATTGAGGTGTGCCTCTTGAATAAGGAATCAGATTTTCATGTGTGGCTGATAGAAACTCACCTCCTTACTTTAGTATCACACCTCAAGCACCAGAAATAAGTCACAAAAACAGTCTTAAAAAGTTCTAGATAATTCACTTATTGTCAGTCAAGGCCACTAGGCCCTGAGTTATGGTTCTTCAGGTTACATCCATCCTAGGTGGAACTAATACCTTTAATCCCCTTTTTGTCTTTGAAGCTACATATTCCTTTGTTGCCTGGTCTTGGCTACACCCCTTTTGCCTTGTGGCAGAAAACACACTGACTTTGAAGCTACCCCTATCACCAATTCAATTAGGTGCCCTAGGAGAGCTGGTTTGTCTTCATCGCCCCTCTCTAGCCTTTGGTTTCTGGACCCAAACTTCACCACCAAGCACCAAAATACCAAAAGGTTGCAGTGGGGCAGATTTTGGCTCAATGTAAGAAAAAATTTACTGACACTTAGAGGTTTTTCATGATTGAAGGAGCTACCCTGGAGATCTTCTAGTGAAGGTGTCTATTTATTGGGCACATTATCCAAGGGATTTGAGGTCATGAGGGAACCTCAAAACTCCTCTAATGCTGAGACTCTATAAATCTTGTACCAATTCTCTAGCCTCAGCATGATGGGTCTTGGTAGTTGGTAAAGAGTTGGGGGTAGGATGATGAAAGCAGAGAGAACCTGGTTGCTGCTCAGGAAGCTAAACAATGATTAAACAAAGATTGAAGGAGGGAAATGAGAGTCAAGTTAGTAAGGTATAAGAAGGAGGAGTCTGCTTTCAAAAAATATTTATAGGTGAAAAAAAGTAAGGACCTTTGGTAGTAAGAGCTTTACAGAGAAATGAAAATTTGTGATTTGGAAATACTGATCTTCAAAGTGCTGGGGCAGGGGTGGAAGAGTAAATGAAGAATGCCTCCAATCAATTAATCAACCAGCATTTTATTAAGTGCCAATTATGTGATAGCACTGGAAATACAAAGACAAAAATAAAATGGTCCCTGCCCTCAAGGAACTTACAATCTATCAGGGAAAAACAACATGTACACATATACGTAAATGCAAAATATGTATATACATATATAGTAAACAAAATAATTCCCAGAACACCTAACAGTTGGAAGGGGGTAAGAAAGACCTCAAGTAGATGGCACTTTAGTTGAGCTAAGGGTTCTAAGAGGCCTAAGTGAGGAGAAAGTGCATTCCATGCATGGTGGGGTAGGGAACCAGCCTGTGCAAAGACATGGAACTTGAAGACAGAATATCACATATGGAGAATAGCAAAGGGTCCGTTTTGGTTTGAACAGAGAATATGTGTAGAAGAGTGAAATGTAAAAAAATCCGGAAATATAGGATTTATCAGATTGCGAAGGGCTTTGAATGCCAAATAGAGAAGTTTACACTTTATCCATGAGGCAGTAGGGGGCCCCTGGAGCTTTCTGAGCAGGAGAGTGACATGGTTAGATCTCTCCCTTAGGAATATCACTTTGGCAACTATGTGGAAGATGGAATCCAGAGGAGAGAAATTGGAATCAGGGAGACCAATTAGATGTAATGAAGGTGGTGACCATAAGAGTGGAAGCAGATGGTGTCAGGTGGTATTGTGGAGATAAAAACAAGACTTGGCTACTCATTCCATTGTGGTAAGGGGGAGTAAGGAATCATAGATGACTTGGAGGTTATAATCTTCATGGACAGTTGGCATTACCCACAGCAGAAATAAGGAAGTTCTCTTCTAGCTCTCATAAGCATTTCATTTCCCCATCATGTCATTCAGCTACCTCTTGCTACCTGTTGTATTGTAAGTCTCTCTGTCCCACCTCTTCATAGCATCTTGAAGTTTAGAGGCTACAATATACAAGTTGCTGTCTAGAGAACCTGATCTTGAAAGAAAGCCCCAAGCACTTAACCAGAATCTGATTAGCCCATGACAAAGGAATAAAGTCCTAGTAAGAGTAATTTGGGTTAGCACCTAATTCATGAATTTACAGAGGTGGAAGGGACCTCAGTTGTCATCTAGTTCTATCTACCCATCCCCCTTATTTTTTTTTTACAGAGCAGGAAATTGAGTCCTAGACAGGTCAATCAACTGGCTCAAAGTCACTCCGCTGATAAATTCCAGGGCCAGGGCGTGACCCCAAATCTCCTAATGTTAAGGCCAAATGCAACTTCAACTATACATTGGATTTCAGATGTAGAATTAGAAGAGAAAAATGGACACATTTTAGTGCAAGGAGCAGGAGGCAGAAAGAGGGAAAAGGAGTCTTTTTGGAGTGCATCTTTAATGTTTTTAAGAAGTAAGGATCTATAATGGCAAAAGTTTTCAGGATGATAAAATCTTCCCCATGATGAGAATCACTGCTCTAGCCCCTACCCTTTGGATCTGCTCCAAGAAACACTATACTCAGTTATCCTGCTGTCCTTCCTGGTAACCTTGGTTTTTAGCAAACACCCTTTTATGGATTGACAGTTTCATCTTCTATAGCCCACCTGAGGTTGTACTCTCTTTCCCTAACTGGGTTTAGAATTCATTTGTAACACCTGCAGACTTGAAATGTAATGCCTAACAGTGTAGTCAGTCACTATAACTAGAGGTTACTGTAACAAAGCAATTTAGGCATTATCTGTTACTCAGTGTACTGCAATAAAATAGGGCAGTTCAATCACTATAGGAATTTGGCTTCTTAATTCTCCTTATCCCTTGGTAAAATAAAGTGAGGATGTATGTATATGATGTTGGGATTGAGGGAAGCAGGAACTAGACCCAGAAATGCTAACTGGCCACTGACTAAACAAAGTACAGAGGCTAGATTAGAATTAGGGTTAAGATTCCACAGGCTATAAACCAGTTTTCTTTCTTTCCCCAACAAGATAGATAGGGTCCTCTTGGCTGAGGATGGAGGTCCACTACCTGAGTTTTCTATGAATAATTTGTGTTTTTTGGGGTTTGTCTCTGGGCTCCAGGCCAAGGTTTCATGGAAGTATTTTTACTGAGAAACCATAACCCCTTCCGGACACAATCTGACCTTGTCCATGTAATAGCGTGATGCCTTCCTGGCCCACTTCTTGTGGATTTGGACTTGAAGAGTGAGCAGATCACTTGGCCCCCCTGACACAGATCCAGGGTCTAGAGGAGGCACATTCTAAAGCTTTGAGCTTTCCTTCCTCTAAGCCCCCACAGTTTCGGTTCTGAAAGCTATCTTCATCTTCTTCTGGGAGCCTGGGAAGAGGAAAAAAAATAAAGGAAGATAAGGAGATGAGGATAGGTATCATTTCCTTTCCTTCCCTTTGATACATTAACTTTTCCAAGAAGCCTTCCCAATATCCCACCCCCAGTGAAATCCAGGTGCTTATTCACTCTGCATCCCCTAACATCCAAGTACTCTTTTTACACAGGGTTGATCTGTTTGTTGCTTTGTTAGTAGTATTAGCTCATTTCAGGGGTGTGGGATCACAACAGGCTCCAACAGGGTGGGAAATGATTGCCAAGTCTGGAGGTGAAGGGCCCTTCTGACCCCTCCCAACACCCAGATAGTCTGGAAATGACGATGGTAGGATCAGCTCAATATAGTAGAGCTGTGTAACCCAGCCAGGGGACAGAGGGCTCACCCAGGGTACCCAGAACATCGTGTAGCAGGGGACAGACACCAATTTATACTGTGTCCACAGCCATTCATCCCACAAATGAGGCCATACCAGAGGACCAATAGCAGCAGCAGAGGGCCAGGATGGAGGAGAGGGGAGCTATCCCACCCACACAGGCCATCCAGATCCAATGCAGTCACTCACAGCTGGGGGGGCAATGGAGTCCCATCGATCCAATGCCACCCTTCAGGGCCTCGATGTAGACCCACCCAATATAACCTGGGGATCTGGAATCTGCTTAGGAAGTCCTAAGGGAGAAAAAAATACAAACTTTGTTTCACTCTGTGGCCTGAAAAACACCCCATTCAGCATCTCGTATCTAAGTATACCTCTACATTCTCCAAAGCCCCAGTCAAGTTAATAAGCTCAAGGTTCTCCCAAGCCCCCAGACACTTTCTCCTCACTGATTCATTCCACATAGATTTAATGACTATGTGTGAGGCACTCTAGTGAGTGCTGAGGTGGGGAGGGGGGAGGGAAGGGAGATAAAGATGGTTAAAATATGGTCCCTGCCTTCATGAAGCTACTGATCTAATTTAACCCTAGAATGTTAGAGATGGAAGGCACTTAGGGTGGAGGAGACGTGTACCCCAGTAATTATGATGCAAGGTAAAACATGCTAATTGTCATGGGGATATGAGAGGGGATCAGGAAGGAGAGAGCAGTTCTGGGGTGGGTGATCTGGGAGGTCTTCTTGAAGGAGACAGCATTTGAGGAAGGTATTAAAGGATGAGTGGTAGATAAAGTGCCATGCCTGGAGTCAGACTCATCTTCCTGATTTCAAATCTGGCCTTGGATACTTGCTAGCTGCGTGACCTTGGGCAAGTTACCTAACCCTGTTTGCCTCAGTTTCCTCATCTGTAAAATGAGCTGGAGAAGGAAATGGCAAATCACTCCAGTATCTCTGCCAAGAAAACCCCAAATGGGGTCACAAAGAGTCAGATGTGTCTGAAATAAATGAACAACAACAAAGGATAGGCAGATATGGAGGCATGTGTGGAGACAAGGGCAGTCCAGAGGGTTGTAGGAATAATAACAATAGTTCCCATACAACATCATTTTTCTTTAACAAAATTCTTTTCTCATAACAACCCTATGAGGCTTAGTGTCTGGGCAATATCACTCCCATTTTACAGATGAAGAAGCTCAGGTTCAGAGAGATTAATGACTTGCCCAAAGTCACACAACCAATTAATGTCAGAACCAGTACTTGAAGCGAGGTTCTCTGATTCTAAGTCTAGTGCTCTTTCCAACACATCACACAGGAGGAAATGGCCTAAAAAGAAAGGCAAGGGGAGGGTATTCAGGAAACAGAGCAACTTGAGTTAATTTCAGATAATTTTATTTATTAATTATTAATTATTTATATATAATCGTATATAAAAATATAATTGTTTGTTAATTTCAGTTAATTTTAGCCTTAGAAACTCAGACTTCATTCAGTAGGAAATGAAAACTCATTAAGGTTTTAGAGCAAAGGAATGAAATGATGAAAACAGTGCTTTAGAAAGATTACTCTGGTGGCCAGCATAAAATGGATTGGAGAAGGAAAATTACTGTAGACAGGGAAACAAGCCAGGAAGATATTGAAAAAGTCCAAGTGTGAGTTCAAATGGTCCAAAAGTAGGAACACAGAGCCAGAGCTAGAAGAAATCTTAGAGTCCTTTACAGATGAGGAAACTGAGGCTCAGAGTGGTTAAGTGTCTTGTTTAATGCGATACAAATGGTTGGCATCAGAGTTGGGATTTTAAACCTGGATCCCCTAACTCCAAAGCTTTCATTAGTGGGAATGGAAAGGAAGAGACAGTTTGAAGAAAGAAGAATCAATAGGACTTGGTAACTGATTGAATGTGGGCAGTGAAGGAAAAGGAGAGTCTGGGAGACTGGAAAACTAAAGTGACTATTAATAAGAAAGTGAGAGTGATGATGCTGGAGAGATATCCAACTGGAAACGTCTAGCAGGAAGTTGAAATGTGAGACCAAATCTCGGGAGTGAGATCGAGACTGAAGGTCAGAGGGTCAAAGGAGAATGGACTTGAAAGGCGTTGGCATAGGAGTTCTAGTGGAAGAGGTAGGGGAGTAGAGGATATCTCTGAAGGAAGTAATCTAAAGAGAAAAGGAAAGAGCACCAAGTACAGAACCTTCCTAGGCCTACAAAGAAAATTCCTCCAGGAAGCTTCCTCTGATTCATGGTCTTTCCCTGACAACCCATCCCCCTTCAACACTGAAGTCTACACCAAAGTAGCATCCCTTCATCTTGTATTATTGAGGGACAACACTAATGACAAATCACTTTTCCCTAACCTCTCCCTATAAGCAAGCACTGTTTTGTTTTCTTTTTTTTTATCAGATATCAGGCCTTTTCTACATTACATCTGTTTGGAGGAACATGCCTCAATCTGATCCTCAAACCATCCCTCCCCAAGGCCTGAGTTCCCATGTGGGAATTGGGGGACAAAGAAAGCTAAAACCGGGGGATACCCTCCTGGCCATTTTGCAGATGAGGAAAAAAAAACCCAGAGGTGAAATATTGTACCCAGAGCTGTGTAAAGTACCCAGCCACAAAGCCAGAATTAGATCCCAGATCTTTTTACAGCTTTTTTTTCCTTTCCAATATACTGTTCTGCCTCTCAGAAACCATGGGTGATTCTAAGTAGCATTGGCGTGAAAGACTTTCACAAGAAGAAAAAAAATGTGATATTTATGTAGCTCTTTACAAAGCTTTTCCTCACAACAAAGCTGTGAGGTCCAGGGTACACATGTTCTTATCTCTAGTTTATAGATGAGGTTATGTGACTTGACCAGGGTCATACTACTAGTAAAGTATCAGAACTAGGACTCCCGTTGCCACATCTGATCATCTTTCCACTACTACAAGACCCCCCTAGAACTACTCCTCAAGGAAGAGATTGGCTCAGATCAAGAGAAGAGATTCAGATCTAACAACGTTTGATAAGGGCTTCGCAAACTTTCAAGCACTACAGACATGTCAGCCATTGATAACATCATTGTTTATCTTCCTCTTTCTGAGAGGTTTCTCAGTCACTCCATTGTCTATTTTCCAAATCTGGGGAGTGACAGAGCTTAGGATTGTATGGCTAGACCTAAGGCCAGTGAAAATATCCAGTCAATATAGCAAAGTATTTACATGTTTGCTTTGTCTGCAATCAATTTGAGTTTTTTTCTTTTTCTGAAATCCATGGCATTATAATAGGATGGTTAAAAAGCACAACAAAACTCCCAATAGTTAGTTGTTCAGGTATGTCAGACTCTTCAAGACATTTCTTGGCAAAGATACTGCAGTAGTTTGCCATTTCCTTCTCCAGCTTATTTTATAAGTGAGGAAACTGAGGCAAACAGGGTTAAGTGATTTGATCTGGGTCACACAGCTAATAAGTGGCTGAGGCTGGATTTGAACTCAGGAAAATGAGTCTTCATGACTCCAGGCCCGGTGCTCTATTCACTGTGCCACCTAGTTGCCCAAAGTTTAACCTTGGGACCAAACTAGCAAACTGTCACCTTGCCAGGATCAACAGAACTGCTGTGACCTGCTAATAATCATCAATAAGGACAGTAACCATTAGGTAACACCATTTAATTAAGAATAGAACTTAACACTTCTGTTAACAGAAATGTTAACACAGGCACAATCTATAGACAGTAGCCAGTTGATTGGCAGCAACACAAGGCTAAGAAGCTAAATATTTGGGTTTTTTTAAAAAAAGTCTTATTTTTATTCTATACTTAAATGCCAAACAAAATAAGTGTTTCCATACATAGTAGAGTATGGAAAAAAGAGAACCATACATGAAACTTTGGGTCTCTATTAAATACAACTTGCTCTTCTTTTTAAGAATATGATAAATTCAGCCTGGAACTTTCAGGCTGCTTGTCTATGCTTCTTTTATGGAGGGGCTAAATATTTTGTTAGTTCTTTTCCCAGTTCCATGATCTCCCAAAGCAGTCTTGCAAATGAAATGACTGCTGACTTAAAGAAGTCAGATAACAGAACCGAAAGCCAAAAAAAAGGAGCCAAAAAAGCTGCCTTTGGCTTGTCTTTAGTATTCCCTCTGCATTGCATTTTCCTAGGGGGGGTGGGAAATTCTGGATGGGAGCACTGGGTGTGGCCAAGGCAAAAAGAACCCTGAGAACTTGTGTAGATGAGTGTGTTCTTGGGAGGCAATGAACGAGTCAAGAAGAGATTACCAAAAGAAACAAAAAGCTGTCTTCTCATCAATGCTGAAGACCCCACTGGCTCTTCCAGTTCTACCATCTTTCCCAGGAGAGGAGTTAGCTCCGTTGTTTTGTTTCCCCTCTTCCACTTTGGCAACCCACCCAGCATCCATGGGAAGAGTATGCTTAAACTTAGACCATGATAGTAGTGAGGCATATGTGTAAGAAATGTGTGACAAAGGTTTAACTCACGGCACCTGCTCTAAAAGTCCTCTCTTTGTAGAGACCTCACGCAGAACCCTTTGTTGGTGTTGCTCATTTCTTTCTCCAAGAGGACAAATGACATCAGGGACATGAGGCCGAGCTTGGAAAAGTCATCAGCCTCACTCCTCCAATCATCCAAGTCCAATGTCAAGACACCTAAGTGAACATGTGGGTGCACTGTCCAGAGGAATAAATAATTTTTGCTCACTTATATTTTGTATGCTATTTTGAGGTGTGGGGGCTAGATTTAAAAAAAAATTATGTATCTATTTATTCATTTGTTTATTTGTTTTCAAAAAGCTGGGACAATTTACTTTTTGGTCTTCACAGTTTCATTTATGATTTCTTGAAATATAGCTCTGAAAAAACAGACTTTTAAAAAAGCTACTTGTGTTGTTGTTCAAGCTTTGTTTTTGAAGAGGACCATGACATCATGAAGGTGATACCTTGGCTTCAGCATGAACTGGATTTAAGTGAAGCAGAGCTGTACAAAAGCGTCAGCCTTACTCTCTCCTCCAGAGTAACTGAATGACAATGGCAAGACACAAATCAGGGCAACTGGTGATGTCCAAAGATGTAATGGGTGGCCTTGGCCTTTGTAAATTAAGATCTTCCCCAATTCTCAGTTTGTCTGAGGCAACACCCATTCAGTGACTTAGGGCTAGGTAAGAACTGAGACAGAAGAGGGACGAATAAAAGAGAACAAAGCCAGAGCTTAAATCCAGTTCCGCCAAGTCCATAGACAGCATTCCCACTGGAATTCTCTTTGAGTTCTTTTACTTTAAGCTTTATAATCTTTAGATTGTAATCC